ACGGTCAAAAACCACCTTTAGAAAACCAGCCATATTTCCACTCTCTGATTCTGACGGAGTGAGACAACATGATATATCATGATTAGCCTAATGGAATGGGGCACACTTCAACAAATTTATGTTGCACCCATAGAGCTCTCTATGTCTGAGTTAATTGTATAGCAGTTCTCTGTCATTGGTGGTGAGAAACAGGATATTTTAAAGCACAAATCCTCTCATTCCAAAGGGGGTATCAAAAGTAGATAGATCAGCATTTTAGCAAACACAACAGTTTCCCATAGGTAAATAATTATTGTTTGTGGCTATAAAGGAAGTCAACTCATCTACCTCTGATACAAATACCTTACTGGAGGTGTGTACTGCCACGTGAGATGAGTTTCACTTTATGTTTTTCCTCCACCACAGGGAGAGGGCTTCCTATCTAACATTTATGAACTGTTATATTGCCTCTGGAGTTTAAATAAAGCTTAACAATATCCTTCTGTGGATTGCAGGTCTTCAGGATAAAATAAACACATCCTCTCTGTGAAGATTCTTTGCTCTTTAGAAGATTGACTTGGACCCCAGAAATATTTATTTAAAATTTATCTGGGTTTATCTAGAGCAAAATGCTTTATTTGAAGCATGCACATCAGTCTAAATATATTTTTGGTACACTCATCTCACTTTCTGCTACCTGATCATCTACTCTATGTGGTCTATATTTTCTGTAGCCTGTTTTGTACTGTATTTTGATTTTTGAGACAGATGTTTTATTTTTGTATATAGGGCAATTTGCATAAAAATAGTGACTAAAATTCAATGATAAAAAATAACATCAAAGAAAAACTAAAAGGAAATGTTAAAGGAACTGGTTATATTATGGGACAATGAGACAGAATAGTGTTTCAGGAATTATTAACACCATTTTCAGAAACAGCTGTAGAACCAATTTTCTTTGTAATACAAACTAGAGACTAAGTACTAGCTATTTCAGCATTACAGTATTTCCTCAAAGTTGCAAGAATATTTGGTAACGTAATATATTTTACTTCCGTACATTGAATTACTTGTATTTTTTTTTTCTTTATTCTTGTATATATTATCAAAAAACTCAGACAAAAGTAAAAGGGATAATAGTTTCTGTGAAGGAGGCAATCAGACAAATAAAACCAAATTAACTCATTATATTCTGATGTATCCAAAATGTATTTACATTTCTGGAGATGTAAATTCTCACAAAACTGAAATAAATCATATCAAAAAACGTAACTGTGACTTGTAAAGTTCTGTGTCTACATTTGCCATAAAATATAGAACATAGCAATTAGATTTTACTTATATCAATAGAATTTTTCCTACTCTACTAGTTCCTCCTTATTATTCAATCATTACATCAACAATTCGTAAAATTAAGGTCACAGAAACAGTCCATTCATAAATTAGCAACTGACAAATGTATGCATTTTTGACTCAGGCTAAACTAGTTTTCATGTTAACAGGATATTATTTAATTAAAACATTAATAATGGTCTATTGTTTTTCTATTTGTTGCAAGTTAATGGACATTTATATCTCTTTTGTAATACTGCTTTGAGAAAACTGGATAGAATACTTGGGCTGTAAAAATAAGAACTGATCAAAGAACAGTGCTATCACAACATCTTAGTTAATTAAATGAGTAGAGTTTTATTGACTGTAGCTTCACACACGACAGTCTTGGAAACAGAGAATGACTATATTTAGAATATCTTTTTGTGGTACTGTTACTGTTGTCTCTATTCTGTGCTTTAAAAGTGCAACATTAAAGTCCATTTTGTATGAGTCAGAGCAACAAAATTATTCCTTTTTTTCTGCTAAAATTTAAACTAGAAATATTTTTACCTTTTTTTTTTTTTTTTTTTTTTTATGAAAGCAACTAATATGTAATGACATAGTTTCATATTTCCTCAAATAACTGATTATGAATAAGGAGGTAGACTTTATGCCACAGGTCAAAGATGAAAGCTCTTATCAGTGAACAACATAAATAATTTGATGTAAATCAATAGAGTGCATGCAAGTGCAAAACTGGTCAGGGTTAGATCAGAATCAGACCCAACACTAGTTATTAACCTGTGTTGTTAACATCAATTACTTCCAAGTAATTTTCAGCATTTCCCCCATGAATCGTTGTTTCAAAGCCAAGATTTAGACAGGCTCATTTGATTTTACATAATGCTATGTGTGTTTCATAAGCCTGTGTGTAGTGATGGTGTTCTTCAGTTATGAAAGTCTCACATGTGAAAATAACCCTCTGTCTACTTTCAAAGTTTTAAAGAGTATCTAAAAAAAAAAATTATTGTACAGTCAAAATGGAAAAAAAAAAAAGTGTCAGAGGTATATTTACCTGTTTTTGGATATTTAAAAATTATTTTCTAAATGTATATTCCTTAACTTCCCTATATCAATTTTTATTATTCCTAAAGTTAATATTTTATATTAATAGTCATCATGATTATCACTACAGTGTTTTTGAAGTATTTATTTTTGTATTTTTTGTTATAGGATATATTGGGCCTTGAGTTTTCCGCAGGGAAAATAAGAAAAAACTTCTTACTCAAGAGCCCGTGTGTCTTTTCCATGCATCATGATAGTAAACTGCTAGGACATGATTTGAAACTTGCTATTAGTAGAAGAAATCAAAAGGATATCTACTGAAGTTACAATTAAACCGATGTAAAACTAGTACAAAATCAATTGCAGTTCATCTGTGTCATTCTGTTCTGCTCCTGCCCCAACTTGATTTTACCGTGATTATTCCTAGAAAGTTCCTACGGAGTTGGCTAGAAACCACCCATATAGGTGAGCAATCTTGGGGTCAAAATTCATTTTTATAACATTTGAAGTGGAATGAGAAATACTAGGAAAGAACCATGTTTGCAGTACAAATATGAGTTATTAGAAATAAAAATTAACTTGGTACAGTGATTCACCATACAGCATTTCCAAAGTATCTGCAAAACTGAAACATTTTCCTTGTGTTGTAATTCCAATGGAGAATTTTGATGGATTTCCAACTCCTCTGTTTCCCAACTGTTTAGTTTAACTTAAACAAATAAACAGCTAACATGAAGCAAGAACTCTCTTTGTTTCCAAATTTCAGGGAGGTTTCTGTGGATGCTATCAGAAGTCGGTGTTTCTAATGAAAAGTGGACTTTAACCAGATTGTAGATCTGTGCATACATGTGGGTGTCTAGGACTCAGAATCCAAATCCCAATGTAGAACAAAACTTTTGCAGCACATTATGAAGAGTCTCTGTTTTTGTCCTGTTAGAATCTACTTTATTTTTAAGGTAATTAGTAAAATTGACATTATCTCCTGTCCTGTATCTTATATCTTCATTTCAACCTTAGGTGTAGTGAGTTGACCACATTGACTTGTCATTTGTAATTGCCATTTTTCTCTACTTTGTCATGGTTATAATCCAATTCTCATGTGTTTGTTGGTAGAAAGTTACTCATTAGCATGACTGGTAAGTGAGAATTCACAGCTAGAACACTTGACTGTGTTTTTTGAAAAGACTATGTGATTAGACTAGCTTCCATTGAATGATGTCAAAAGTTTTTCCATTGTCTTGTGAAGGAGTAGTTTTAAGTCCTGTGTACCATTTAATTATATAATTGCATTTAAAAAGAAATATGTGTTGTGACAAATTTGAAGTGTAATAGTAATTTCTGTAAGATCCCTTGAACTGAGAATCAAAAAAAAGATGGTAACATCCTAGTACAAGAAATCATAAATAACATACACTCTGGGAACTAATTTCTAGCTCTGTTACAGAAACATGTTAGCCAGCAGATTTACAAATGCAAACCCATTAACAGTAAATTTTGAAAGGAGTCAAGATTACGATTAAAACCACTTCCCTGCATGTGGGAAATTCACTTTTCATCTAAAACTAGAAATATGTTTTGTGTATGTGTTACATGCATGTTCACTTGTGTATATATGTAGATTATTGCAGATACTGACAGAATTAGATCTGCTTTTTGGGACTGATTCAATAAATATGTTTCATATTCCTTTTAAGAAGAAAGCTAGAAAAAAAAAAAAAAAAATCCTTCCTCTAAGGAGTGAGAATGTTTGACCTGGGAACAGTGTAGTCCAATAAAATGAAAATACTTAACTAGTCTATTGTAATTCTGAGGGGGAAAAAAAATGACTACAAATGTTTTCAGATTGTTACACAATTTCTAAAACAGGAACAACAAAACCATTTAGCTCTTTTTTTTTTTTTTTTTTTTTTTTTTTTTTTTTTTTTT